TATGAATGAAACAGAATGTTTTTTAAAAGACTTTTCGCACAAAGCTATACAATGTTATGCATACAACCGTCCATACTTTCGAACTGATGGACTAGATGAAAGGCGGCTAGTTAATTATACTCATCACCGACTGTTCTCTGACTGAACAGTGGGATTTCACTGTCACTCTTATAATGCTCCCACAGCTCCAAAATGCAGAACGTGTTTTTTTTTGTTTTTTTTCCGGCAAGCACGTAAACCATGATTCTTCGGATTCACAGTCCAGACACGCTAACTATTAGTCCAGACACGCTAACTATTAGTCCAGACACGTTAACTATTAGTCCAGACTATTAGTCCAGACACGCTAACTATTAGTCCACACCTGAACAGAAAACAGAATACTTATTTTGATAAGACCAAATTTTTAAGTCCTTGTCACGCGAGATATTCAGCCAACTGTTAAATAATTACGACTTAATACATAAATATGTATTATCAATAATAATATATCTCTTGGAGAGTCAACGGTAAGTTTACGGCTTAAAAATCCAGGGTTCGATTTCCGCGGTGGACAGAGTACACGTAACTTTGCACTAAGACACAACAAAAAAGCACAGTTCGGGTGTAACTTTCTCTACTTTTGAAAACTAGAAGGACGACAGCCAGGTAGAAGCATCCTCCGCATCAAGGACTTTGTCCGATTTTAGATTGAATAACAGCAAATTAACTGACACTCTTATAACGCACCTATAACAAAAAGTGCAGTCTTTTTTTTTTTTAATGGCATCGCAGCGCGACCTACATGTTAAGGTACACTTTGTTTCTCCTGTTATAATATGTTTCCATGGTACTTAAATACGAAAACATGTGAGCTACAGAATAGTTTAGGGATTATTGCCTACTGGTTAGGTTGTCGGACTGCGGATCAAAAGGTCCAAGGCTCGAGTGCGTTATAAAAGTGACAGTGAATTCTATTGTTCTGTTCAAAAATTTGGACAAAGTCTCTGTGATAATAAGCGCTGTTAACTGGCTGCCCAATTTCTGATCAGTGGCCACATCTGAACCCTAGGGGTATTTGACCCGCTCATTTAGCTAATGTGCGCATAAGATGCTACTCAGATTAAAAATACCAATATTACACTTTTTTTTCTTATGTTTCTGTACAGTGCTTAGAGATTTTTACTTAAGAAAAAAAATAAACATTGCAACTTTTGCAATTGAAACTAACAGCACACGCACACAAAAGGGCTCGGCATGGCCAGGGGGTTTGGGGCGCTCGACTCACAATTTGCGGGTTCGAATTCCCGTCCCACCAAACATGCTCGCCCTTTCAGCCGGGGGAGGGGGGTTATAATGTTACAGTCAATACCACTATGCGTTGGTAAAACAGTAGCCCAAGAATTGGCGGTGGATGAAGATGATTAGCTGCCTTCCCTCTAGTCTTAGACTGCTAAATTAGGGACGGCTAGCGCATATAGCCCTCGTGTAGCTTTGCGCGAAGTTAAAAATAAACCAAACCAAACCACAAACAAAAATTGAGCATTTGCCTCCAACGATTCTACTAAATTCTCTCTGAAACCCAACACATAAATTCATCTTCACAAATAAAGCATGTTTCTTGTTTTCATATCATATTGTTTAGTGTGAAATGAAACGTTTCTTACCGCAACTGAAGACTTAAAACAATAACGAAGGATGTCAAATTGTCGACGTTTCTTACCGAAACTGAAGATTTAAAACAATAACGAAGGATGTCAAATTGTCGACGTTTCTTACCGAAACTGAAGACTTAAAACAGTAACGGAAGATGTCAAATTGTCGACGTTTCTTACCGAAACTGAAGACCTAAAACAGTAACGAAGGATGTCAAATTGTCGACGTTTCTTACCGAAACTGAAGATATAAAACAGTAGATTTCAAACTGACGGAACTTACTTTAGCCTAAACTTTGATTCAATCAAATATCATAATATATGATAAATATGTAAAAAATGGTAAATTAGCAGATAAGGAGCTAGGCCTGAATATAATTTCTATTAATACTACTTGTCAAGAAGAATTTAAATTAAATTTTTCAGATACAACAGTGGACCAAACTCACGAAACACCAGTAGTTTATTCAATGGTACAAAATCATCAAAACACCAATAATTTGTTTGATACAAAATCATCAAAACACCAATAATTTGTTTGATACAAAATCATCAAAACACCAATAATTTGTTCGATACAAAATCATCAAAAC